AGGCTCAAACTCTGCCATTGGTGGGTAAGAAGGTAAGAGATGGGTAAAGCTATGATTAGAAAACCCAGACCTGGGGTTCTCAGTGTGCAGTGGAAAACCCTGTGGTTCCAGTTGCAATCCCAGCTGGGGTCATTATCTAATACATGTAGTATTTGGTGTATAAACTGAGAAGTTCGGAGAAATCTGTGGTAACAAGGGAGGAACATAAAGCTTTTTGATAATTGTGTTAAACTGTGATCTGCAGAATTTGTTGTAACATTTTTAATGTAAAGCTATGCCTAAAGCTAAATAGTGTTCAGCTAAATTAGCAATGGAATGGCTGATGGAGTAAATAAGGAAACTGGTTAAGATTAGAGATGAGGGGAGTCTGGATGAATGGCAGTTCACAGATGGGTGTGATGAAGTAGACTGGTAGCTTAATGTCTCTAAAGCACTACAGAGTTTGACTGGAGAGCTATTTACATTTTTGGTTCCAGATGAATATTGGGGTAGTTTAATTCTCCTTGAGACTTGGATCACTGTGTATGTGAGGCTTGCAGGGATGGTAACTCTTCCTAGACTGGACATTTCCAGATGCTTTCTGTCCCAGCACCCTCTGTAAGCCACTGCTTCTCTGACTCTAGAGTACCAGAGCCAGCGGCATTAGTTTCTGTGCTCCACTGAACTGCTCTCAGCTAATGCAGTCTTATGTGTTTTGAATCCAACCTTTATTTGCTCTGGTTTCGAGAAATGGTGATGTATGTGTTCTGTGTACTTGCAAAGTATAGCATACTTAGGAGTCTTGAGTCCAGCAAACCTTGTAAATGTGCCTGTTTGAGTGGGATGGTTTGTACATTGATTATATGTATTTGTAAGGTCTTTTCTGGATGGAATTAAATGCTTTGAAGCGATAACCATTTGGGATGAAAAGTGGAGATGAGTGTGTTACCGTAGCCCACTCTGTGACAATGCTGCCAAATGCTGGTTCCGTCTAGGTGGCAATTACTGCAGTTTGTCATCCTGTCAATTCTGCCAGTATCAGCGCGACAAATGTGCTAAATACACTTTGTAAAACCACAGAGTAGGACTGTGAACAATGGTGACAATGATGTCCATCCTCACATGTGTATCAGTAGGGATCAGGTGCTGTGCTGGGAGGAAGGGAGACTTAGACTGTGGAGATGCAAAGGGACAGTAAGATTGTCTGCATTAGGTTTTGGTTCACAATGGGAGTGTGCTTTAAACAACAGTCAAGCACTCTGGGACAGTCTGTGTTCACCTGGTGCCATGGTTCCTACTTAAATCATTAAAAGCAGGAATACTCTGCTGCTGTGGTTTGTCTCCTGTCTGAGCTCACTAGGTAGGCAATTTCAGGATGTGTTTCCTCTTCTCCATCCTTTATGACAAGTGATAAGGAAAAAGAACTGAATGTTCTCCATCTCCCCTCTGCTCACCCTTTCTTTAGGGGTGTAGCTGGGAGGGAAGCTACTGTTCTGAGCCCCAGGCTCCAGTAACACAAGGTAGCAGGGGGCTGTGTGTTGTCTCCCTTGCTATCTTGCCCCTTGGGCTCTACTTAGACATGACAGCAGATTTGTTTCACACTAACTGCATTGGGCCTTAAAAATGACCAACTTAAGGAAACCCACACAAATCCAGAAGATGCTTCAGATATATGATGTTTCTTAGTTTGATGGACCCTTCTTTAGCACACTTCACAAATTTCTGAGTCCATTTACTTTGTGTGGCCAAAGCACCCTTTGCAAAGACAATTTTGTGCTTTTTCTAACATTCCTTACATGCTGCAAGAACCAGGGAATTCTGTTCCTTGCAATGCACTCTTGAAACTTGTCAGATTTGAGCCCATTTGCCTAGGTGGGATGCAAGAGAAGGTCTAATGCAGCTCTAAGAATCCAGCTTCCATGCTAGGCCAGTGGTTTTGATTTCAATTATTTTGGGGTGGAGGCAGAGGGTCTCATCTCCCTGGCTGAAAGCTCAGGGTCAAAGAGAAAAGTTACATTTCTCAGTAGGAGCCCAGGTTTCTGAACCCATGCTTTTTGTGTGTGCATTCTTCATTAAGCTGGCAGTCTGTTCTTGTTCTATGTGATGAGACAATAAAGACAGAGTTGAATACTTTCTTTCCATGATTTTAATGTCTACCTGAAGGTTTCCCTTAGCTCTGAGACAGCTTTTTGCCTGCTACAGTAGTTTTGCTCTGGTTCGCACTGGCGGAATCTGTGACTAAGCAGGTACTCTGGAAACCTTTCCAGGTGGGCTGTATACTGTGTTTCAAATTCATCTACATATCTATGTACAAAATGGAATGTACAACACTGTTTGTTCTTTTTTTTAAAGCATTGATCTTCTCTCCTACCAGCTGAGTGGCCTTTTTTCCCTTCTAAAATGACAGGAGGATAGATGGACACTTGATGTTTCAAATCAGCCATGCATGCTTGCTGCTTTTATTCTTCCTTCCATTAACTCTCGCAAGATTTGGCACAACAAGAGCATTATATAAGACTAAATAATTCTTACATAAATCTGAGTGAATGCCTTTCGTCAAGTACTGGGTGCTTATCGTGGCTATAAGTAAAAATGAATCACTTCCTTTTGAAATGGGAGCTTTAAACCTTGTATTTTGTGTCGTTAATTGCCACAAGCCAAAATAACCTTTTGAGCTCCATGAATTTTCACAGCTGCAGACGGGAGGGAAAAAAACAGGCTGATAAATAGAGACTTGGGAATTTCTAAAAGAAATTATTTCCCAACTGCCTCTTTTAGCACAAAGCCCAGCTCATGTTTGCCAGGATGTTAAATGTTCCTAGCACATGTCTACAGAGCCAAGAACCCCAGTGTTATCTAAGGGATAGAATAAGAAAGAACAATGCAAGGGCAGTGTGAACTTAGCTTTTCATACAGGCTCACAGACCAAGTAGGTTCTGGGCTTAGCAGCTCAGACACAGAGTTGTGGAAGATCAGTCAACTGACATATATAATATGGAAATACAGGGATGTACCTTTTAAAATAAGGGAATAACTATTTGTCTTACAAGCCAAGATGAGTATGTGGAATAGGAATTGGCAAATCAGGAGCCTGGCATTCCCACTCTCCTTGTGGAAAGTGAGAACCAGTACTGAGAAAGGTAGGAGGCTGTGGAAACAGTATTGGGACTGCAGTCATTAACCCCAGTTGTGCTGGAGGAAAAGTTATTTGGCTTGTCATCCTCCTTTACTATGGGATGGTTAGCTCCTGGTACAAGAGCGAGTCCATGCTTCACAGGAAGACAAGCAAGAGAGGAGTGAAGAACCTGGTGTTGGAAGAGCAGGTTTGCGTAGGGAAGTGGGAAGACACAGAAAGAAAAGGGAGGTTAAAGGTCAGAAACCCACTGACCATCACGTTAATGAGGAGGGGGAAGGAAATGGAGAGAAGGAGAGAAAAACACCTGGTAAATATCAAATGAAGCAAACAATCTCCATTGGGTGGTAATGAAGACCTAAGGCTGGAGAGAAGGATGAGGTTAAAATATTCTGCTAAAGCAGCATGATAAATCACCAACACAGAGACTGAAATCCCCTGTGGGCAAACACAGCAATGAAAAGTATGGGACAGAGTCAGTATATTAAAAGACCAGTGGATGGCAGCGTATTTTTACAACCAAAATACTGGGTTGTATTTTGTGTCACTTGTTTTGGTTGTAGCTCATCTACTGACCAATATTTCACATGTCCTGAGAACAAATCCATGTTTGTCTGATAACTTAGCACAGGCTGTGAAGATTTGTGCATCTTGCATACTGTTCGTATTTCTCTTCAGACAGTGGTGACCACTGTGGTAGCTGTCCCACACTGAGTCATGAGGGAGAGGTGCAGCATGTGTTAGAGTAAGAGTGAAAGGCACAGAGTAATGAGGAGGATAACATCCTGCGAGCTGTATGCACCTTCTAAGAGTTTATAAGAGTATTTCAGGAGTAACAGCTCTAAAGGCTATGCCTAAAGAATCACCTTAGTGTATTACTTCTGATAACTGAGTGTGGTCCCATTCCCAACTTTACTGTTCTGCGGTGAAGCTGATGATTTCTTCTCAAAAGTTGGGAATAAAATCTGCAAATTGTAGAGAACATTTCTGAGGTGTAAAATTATACATAAAGAGAAAAACTGAGCACAAATTCAGAGGTCATAGTGTAACACACATCCAGCCCAAAACTGGGATGCATGAAGTAGTTAAAGGGAAGACTCATCTGATAATTCGATTTCACAAAACAAACCCCACATTCTTGCTTATCATATTTATTCACCCTATACAGATAAAAACCAGACAAGTCATAATGGATTTGACTCACTGCTGTATAGAACTGTTTATATTCCATGTTCACCTAAATTTCAACTGAGAAAGAAAAATACACATTTTAAAAGGACAGTTTATAAATTCATTTGATAAACAGACTTCCAATAAATTTGTAGAAGTTAGAAGTAAAGGTATTTAAGACTTACACCTCATGTTTTCTGAAGCAAAACACTTCATGTAAAGCACACCTGACATCAGACTTCCATACACCTCGGAGGTTTTCTATGTAGTCTTCACTAAAGTGTACTTACTAAGTGTTTCACAGTACGAGAGCATGAGTTCCTCCATAAGCTCCAAACCCTCTGAACTAGATACTTGCTGTAAACAGTGCTTCTAGAGAGAGGACAGTTCAAAGAAGAAAAGGGGATTAGCAGTCAAGTTTCTTTGGAAGATAGTACATGGCATTTGGTTCTGACTTTCTTACAAACAGCAGCTGACAAAAAGCATGGTAATCATTTCAGTTATTTGAGGCTCTTCAGTTTTAAAAGCATTTGGAAGAATAGGTCCAATTATAACAAACTGGTAATTGCATAATTAACTTTGAAACAAAGCATTTTGCTCATGATAAATGCATTAAGAGCTGAAATACATGAAGACAAGCTATTATGTTTGTCAACTTGTCAGATGGGTGCTGAAGCCTCCTCTCTTAATTACAAGATGTTTAGCACAGCTCAATATAAAGCTGGAATGTGTTTCCAGTGGTAGCACATTTCATCTGAGATGATTACCATGACAAGGCAGGAAAAGGGAAGGGGACTAAAAGCAGTGATTTATAGACGCTCTAATTTTTCACTTAGAAATTCTTCCACGCTATCTGTATTCCACTTGAGGATGCTCAGTTCTTCTGCAATGTTCCCACTGTCATCGAGCAGCTTCAGTACAGGGTCAGAACCACGCACATACTCCAAGGGAAGAAATGAGAGTCAGTTACCTTGGGCTGGATTAATGCTCCTCCCCCAGACTGATTTAAATTAAGTAAAAATAGCTCAAAGCAAGAATAGTAACAAGTCCAAAGAGTGACATCATGAACACTTAAGAACAGAGCACTAAATTACATCAGAGTATTCTGGGTAAACGTTGGCAATACACTTTGTGCTAAGAAATCAACCTCAGCTTTGGCTTTTTAAAGCTTAGACTTCTTCAATAAACCCAAACAGACAAGCTTGGTTGCTCCTGACAAAAAATACAAGTATTCCAGTGCCCCCTCTTTTGTTCTGATTTTATGCATTTCCTTTCTAGGGTTTAACAACAATGGATTCTACTTTTCTGGAGCAAAACAGATCTGTAAGGATCAAATTAAGAAATTAAGCTTAGGAGATGAGCCTTTTAGCTTGTTTTCTCCTTCTCTCCTCCAGTATTTTTTCACCTACTGTGCAGATTCAAAGGAGAAGGTAGATGGTCAAAGCTAGAGCTGGTGTGCATGTGTATATGCAAAGGAAAAACCAGTAGAAGGGGAGACACCAGACAGAGGCTTTAAAGATGGAAAGATGCTGAAGTCTGTACACTCCACTAGCAGCAGTTGGCCAGTGTTTGCAGCTATGGCTTTCTTGCCTAGTCCCAAGAAAAGAGGGTGGGAGAAAAGAAGGAACCCTAAGAGACAAAGAGGCCTCACTTCACAAGCAATTAAAACACATAAAGGGCAGTAAGTGTCTGAGATCCAGAACAGTTATTTGCCTTATGTAAAACAGGCAGAAAACAGCTTCAGTTTAGACTTTTCACTTGCATTTAATGTCAGAGAGAGGAAAGTGGAGGAATAAGTCAAACGAAGGGGTGAGAGGATGTCAAGGTTGTGTGCGTGTGTATGTTTGAGCAACATCTACTTCTTGTCCTTGGCCCACTGCACAACCTAATGCACATGCAGGGGGCCAATGCCATAAACCTAGCTTTGAAAGATGGTTTTCTACTTCGGCTGGTTTAAGTTACTGAAGCTGGATTTCTGAATCAAGCACCTGAATTATTTTTCTCATATAATCAGTGGCCTTTTTAGCTTTTTAGAAATTTCTGGTCACTTTCACAGCTCTAAGTTACTTCTATCAGTTTCTAATGTAATCCCATTCTTTCCTGCTGCGTTGTATCTGTGCTTACAAGGCTTTGCTGGGAACATACTACTTTAATGCTTCTGAAGACTCACTAAGTCACAAATTCTGTGATGCAAATAAAAACTTCACAGTATCAGAAGGCTCTAACCATTTAAGTTTATGGAAAATGTTCCCCAGGAGTATTGTACCTTTCCCTGCTGAGCTAACCTAGAACCTAGTTGATCTTACTTGACCAAGCTGGTGGCATCTCTAATCCATTTTCCAAAAGTCTTGTACAATAAACACAGATCCATTTGCACTCATTTTTTTTCTGGCAGTGCTCTACACCAACTGCACTCGAGACTGCTTTGGTGTTCAATACAGCTACAAAGCTCAAAATAAAAGTGAAACAGTCAGACATGCAGAAGGAGAGAAAGAAACTGGAGGACACAGAGACATGAATGCATGAGACAGAGGAAATCTGTTTGAGATGGAATCTGCTGCTCAGAAGACAAATCTCTTATTGCAGCCATGCATAGCTATGAAGTGATTCCAGATGGTGCCATTTGGTGAATGGAGATGGGAGCTCAAGAGGTGAGAATCAAGCTGTGTATGTGTGAAGTATGCAGGAAGTTCATACAGGATTTTAAGAGGAATGTGAAGTTTTACACCAGATCTTGAAACCAAAGGCTTGTTTCAGCTTAAGGCAGTGCAACTTATGCAGCTTTGCATATATGCAGGTTATAATAAACACCATTCAGCATATGCATTTCTATAAAGCTGGATGTTTGAAGACTATAAAGAAAAACAGCATCATAGGAACACAGCAACAAAATTCTGAGAGGGAGGAGAGGAATCTAAGAATCACTCAATGTATGGAAATGGCAGCTCCAGCTCCACCAGAAAATGAGGGGAAAACAGAACAGGAAAAAAGGAAACTATGGCAGAATAAGCTTGAATAAATCCAAAATATCCAGAGAGTAAGGACAGAATGCAGGTGCTCCTCACATTCTTTTGCCAATGGGTACCAATTTTTTTCCCTTGGATTAAAAAGAAACAAACAACATCACCACAGATTGGTACCAAGCAGTTACTGAACAATAAACCGGTTAGTATCAGCAGCAGGAACTTGTAAAGATTTATACTGGCAATGCCCATGTATGTCCTCTGCTAAGGGATTGCTTGATCATTAAATAAGGAACAATCCACAGCAGGACTGTCTCCATCAAGCTTAATTCTTCCTAACAACCTAAATGAAAAAGCTGGGTTACTACTCACCTTGATTTGCAGTCCCCTGAAGAGTTTTGGCTTGTTACTCCTGACAAAAGCTATGGTTGGAAGAAAAGAAAGAAAGATGATCAAGCTCTTCTCCACTTGCATAAAGCAGAATTACATTCAAGGCAGTATTCCCTGAATCATTTCTTTTGGAATGATGTTTTAGAAGATACTTTAATGTTAAAATTCTTAAAATCCTCACAAAATAATATTCAGCCTATCACACCTAAGGCATGCCCTGGTTTTGCTAATATTCCAAACAATTTGCTAATGCAACTGTGTAAAACAGTTTACCTGCAGGTACCACTGCCAGGCTCCAGCAGACTGACCTGTATGCTGCTGTGATATGCAAATGTGATGAAAAGTGTTTGTTAGAGTGACCAAAATCAGGCTGAAGAGAAGCTTTGTGAGGGATGCTGAATATGACATGCATCCCATCAGTATGCTCACACAAGCTGCAGCACTGCAGGTGAAAGGAGCACAGAGGGAACTGGGGGTAGAAGTGTCATTCTTGGGAACAAGACAGTCTTATCCTGCAGAGATCTCTGAGGTTACATGTTGAAAACAGCAAGAAAACAAGAAGCTGCTATCTCCTCTTGCCTCTCCCCTAAAGGCAATCAGCTTTAAGATGGACTCTGTCATGTAGCTACATGGAGAGTTAAGGTCAGAGGTGGGCTGCTGCTGAATAATCCTTCACAGCACAACCCAGGCCTTGTTTTAGTGTTAACTTAGATGATATGAATTATTCCAGGACAAAGTGTAAGCATAATCCCCTACTTCCAGACATTTTAGCCTGATGAATGTCCGAATTCCACAAGTATTTATAATTTGTGTAGAAAATTATAGCTTCATTCCTCCTTTTTTACATTCAGGTTATACTAAAGGCTGCCTTTAGTATCTGTACTGACATTAAGCAGACTGGGGATCCTTGTCAGTACAGACGGACTCTTCCAGAGGTGCCACCTGCATGTTAAAACTGCTTATTCAAGGTTAGACAACAGTGACTCTCACAAACTGCAGTGTATCCAGCTGGTGTGCATGGAGATGAGAGTAACTCAGGACTAATGTTTCATACTGTCTCACAACATGTAGTGCTTTCCTCAGTAATGGTCAGGCTGTCCCCTGGCACTTTTATACCTATCTTTATATCATTGTAGAGTTACCTAACACTTTCTCATTATATGTATACCGAGTGGCATTTATTTTCTCCTCTCTCCCACTGTGGTCCCAAGACAGATCAAAATCATATCCTCTGCTGGCTGCACCAACCACTACACAGTATAAACCAGTCAAAAAATACCAGTGGCCCATGAGCTACCAGATATACCTGACCCCTGAAGAAAATAGGGCCTGTTTCCATTCCTTCTACAGATCTATATATTAATGTCATCCTGTAAGCTGTATTTGGCTAACAATTTCAAACAGCACTAAATAACCAGTTCTTGCTCACATGATGCAATTCAGTTCAGACTCAGAGACATAATTTTCCGTGTTTCCCATGTCCTTGTGACCTGTTAGCTGTCTCAGCTGTCACCAACAGTGGAAAAGTGCACAAAAATGGCAGATATTCCTTATTTTTTTTTAAAGTCCACAGCACATTGAACTGTTTCATGGGGAATTTTTCCACATTCTCCTTTTCAATTTCAATCTAAAGCTGCACTCAGCCTCTAGGGCTCTGTATGAAAAGGAGGTTCTAAGAAGTAGTCAGTACAGTGGCTAACTGGAATTGCAGAACTTAAATGGCAAGAGAGCATAGTGAAATGGATAAAGTTTCAGAGGCAAATCTGAACTGTGGACTTTAATTGTATTAAAGAATAGCCTTTGGGGATTACCTCGAGTTAAAGCTTGTAAGTGGTGTGAGGATTTGTTACTTGAGTGACAGATGAAGGCTCATGTGGATGTGCGTGGCTGTTCTCTGGCTTCAGCGTTGGACTTGAACAAGCTCACATGAAATGGCGACAGAATGAGGTGGAAGGCAGCAGTATTGTATTTTGTCACTTTAAAAGTAGCTATTACACACTTGTATCAATGTCAGACGTCCAAATTTTCTGAAAGCTGAAGCATTACACAACATTTTCCCTGCAGTTTTAGACAGCTGGAATAAAATCCATCTCTGTTAATGGCATATTTATTTCTAATGATGATCATAGCCACTTTCTGCATTAGTCACCTGAATTTGCAATGCAACAAAGAGAAACTCTCACTGTACAAATAACTTCATTTGTATATCCTGACCTTTGGCAACTGAAGTGAGAAACTAACATGCTGACATGCTTTAAAAGTACAGATTAGCCCATCAAACACTATGGGTTTTTTTCTCCTTTGCAGAAAAATCACGTCCTAAGTTGAATGAAACCGATGGGGTTAGGAAGTCAGATGTAGCTACAGCGTGCATTTTGGGACATGTGGCTGGTTGCTTATCACGGGATGGGGTGCACATGCTTCACCTTCAGCACTGCCCCAACGGTTTCCCTTCTGTACCCATTATTGAATATTTTGACGTTGAATGCTAAAATCTGAGCTATCTCCTCATTTTCCTCTCCCTGTAGAAGCTGTAGGAATTACACACAGCAGAGAAACAAGCATTTCTCTAACTCCTGGGTTACTCATAGCATTTATCTAGCTCATGGGCAAGCGGGGAAGGCATTTTCCACTTTGACTTCTGTAAGATGAAGTCTGAGCTTGGTGCCGTGCCACTGTGTTCCAGTGAATTAAACAGACTAGAAGTCAGAGCTGTTCTACTGCCAGCTCTGCAACTGTCCTTTCACATGATGTTAAAGAAATCACTTCCCCCTGTGCTCTTACATAGCGTGTGCAATACCAAAGCATATGCCTTCTGTTTGAAGGCCATCCTGAGGTGAGCGTATAGAGTACACTTGATTGCCATGCAATCAAATGCAACTAAAAGGTCAGAGAAAAGGATCAGGTGTACGTGAGTATTATAAAGCCTGACCAGCACCGAAACTGTTTTGCAAAGAAAGGTAGTACCAAACAGTGCTTTTGAAGACCCAAGAGCATCCTCTGCCCTTGAACAGAGCAGAATGGAGAAACTCACTGCTATTCTTATAATGTCCCTTTGATTTGATATATATATATGACATCTCTGTTTTGGGAAAGTCTGTGAAAGCAAGTTTGTTGTAATTAAAGCCTGGAGTCCTTAGTGCAAATGACTAAGGAATGTAAGCATCACTTAGGCCCAAACACAGGGCAAGCCTGTGCACGTGCACACACTGCACTGTTCTCTCTGAGGCACAGTAGGATACACCAGGAAGAAAACTTCCTGACCCCAAATGGACACGATACCACATCTCTCCATGCAGAGATGCAGATCTATATGCTAGGACTAACTTCTTTGTAAACAGAGCTGACTACCTACTGTTATAGATTAAGGGCATGATCCAGACCACCAGGGATACCTACACTCAGGACTATTCACATTATTTAGATTACTGTTTCAGAAGCAAAGATCTCCTGCTTGATCTGTAACTGAAAATATACAAAGCTATGTTAAGAAAAAATTAATCTCTTAATACCCGAGAGCCAATATACAATGGCAGTAAAATCTCACATTAGTTTTCATATGACTATGCGCAGATAAGTATTCTTAAGCTTGTCTATCTCTACATGCATCAGAAGGATTATAATGGCCTCAAATCAGAAAGGCCTGGAGGAGATTAACAAAACCCTGTCTCTATTTTATCAGTTTCAGATTTTAACAGCAGAAAAGCACAAGTCTGAACTAGTCACATCTTCAGCACAAGGTCCACAATAAATATTTACTGCCCAATTTTTCCTCCTGGTAAGCTACAGCATGTCTTCAAATAAGAATCTAATGTGATTAAGCATCTGCTAGTAATGGAAAAGTCCACTTGATCAAACTTCTGATCTTTCTGGTGTTTAAAAATCTGCGCTTTTAGTTTAGATTTATTCCATTGCTGTAACACAAGGTCTGTGTATGCCCATAGGGATTCATCCTTTTTACACTGGACATACCCTTCTCCAGTTTATGCTATTTTTTGAGTAAACAGAACCCTTTAGCTTCTTCTAACCTCTTGATGCTGTGAATGATACACAGCTTCATATTATAGGTGAGTCTCATTTAAAATGCTGATTATGCAGTGAAAAGCAGTGTGGTACTTGTCTGATGAAGGTGACTGTCCCTCAGCATTACACTAAAATCACCCATTATGTGATCAGGGCAAAGAATTGTTAGTGTTTCAAGAGCAACAGCAGAAAGGAGTAAGTCAGGAGTAAGGAGGAATGTTTCAAAACTGGCGTAAAGGATGATCTATATTGAGAGATCTATACTGAGAGTCTTCTTGTGATGTACTGAAGTGTTTCACACATGGAATTAGCAATAGAAAGCACGTGAGTTATTACAAGCTTTCAAAAGACATCTGATCAAATAGTAGCACGGTACTTTGTGCAACTCAATGCAGCATAAACAACTGATTTTTAGAACTCACAAATAAGCAAGACTACATGTATATAAAGTAACTGCAGTGATCTAATAGCAATACAGAAAAGGAAAAGTAAAGTACATCTAAGATTATCTATACATAGTTGTTCTGAGTTACTTTCAGTGAGCAGAAAGCAAACAGTATTACTTTGCCTAACTCAAGGAAATAAAAGGGTAATTTTTTTAATTTGGCCCTGAATTATTAGACACAAACAGCTGGAAAGTAAAAAAAAAAAATTACTAGAAAAATAAATCTGTGCAGAATGTCACAATTTGTACATAAAAAAATGATACGACAAACTAGACCATTTTGCACCCAAAATGAACTCAAATAAAACAACAGTGTTATTGAGGCATTACTGATTATCATGTGGACTCCTGGGCTAGCAAAGTTAATCTCCTCACACCCTTGAACTGGGGAAGAAAAAAAAGCTTTGCCCTGGCCTTCCAGTCAATTAACTAAACTGTGTGTGGGTAGAGGTGGCAGGAGAGGGCCTAGTGGCAGGGGGGTTGGAACTAGATGATCTTAAGGTCCTTTCCAACCCAAACCATTCTATGATCTGTGAACTTCCCTGAGTTGTAATCTGCCTTAAAGTCCTTCTTTTACTTGTTTGTCAGCTGGCCTTCAAGCAAGGAGGTATTAATACTGGCTGTGGTAGATGGAGATAATGCTGTTTGTGCGATTTTATGTCTTAAGCTAGGTTAGTCTTTCTTCTCTATGGCCAAAGTACAGCATTAGGATCTTCATTAAAGAAGCCAAAGCACTGCTATCATCTAAGCTCTTCCTCCATTTATAAGAAAATTGCATTTTAAACTTCTCACAGATGTTTTTTTCCCTGCAGCTTCCTCCCACCACACACTGATGGTTCTGATTTTCCTTTCACTACTGTCTTCCATTCACTTTAATTGACTGTCATTATCCACTGACAAAACAATTATACTGCAGGAGCTGTGAAAAGAAAGTAATTCCATAGTGCACAATATGATTTCATCTATCAATTACTTGAGACCAGTTCCATGAGTCTCAGGTAATGCAACTTTCCTGATAGGATATATGAAATTTATGACTACTTGTAGTAGTACTTAAAAGCACATTTTGTCATTCAGCTGTGACAGTATTTCACATTTGAAAGAACATTAGTGGCTTTACTTACCCTGGACTTGGGGGAACCTTCCCAGTTTTCATCCACATACCTCTAGGACAGCTCCTGCATAAAGCTGTAATAAAAAACAAGCAGCTGTTAAGGACAGAAAAAAATAATCTAAATTACTTCTGATATGTTTTATCTGTTGAATTGTTTTTCTTTGAGGAGACAATACACTATTGTGTTGATGGTAACAAGCAGGATCCTAAATTGAATTGTCTCTGACTTATGCAACAAGCGACTGTTCATTCAAGATATGTGGTAATTTTCTTTTGTTGTGTTAAATACGTAAAACCAGGAAAAAGAATATCATTTGAGATATGCAGTTGCTGGAAACAAACCTTCATTAAAAAATAATGCAATCAGAGATGTTACAATGGGAATTATGGACTAGTAATAGGAAAACTATTTTTTCCTCCCCAAAGATGCTAAGAAAATCTCATTAAGTGAAACTTCAGTCTCCGTTTTAAACCTACCTTGGACAGTGAAATACTGTTTATAGTAAAGGTAAGGCAGTGACTTTAGGCTTCTCATTTGGGCTAACTATTAGTATTTTATTGTAGTTAACTGTGATTGCAGAAAGAGATCACGTTACTAGGCCTTAGCTGGGCTAACTTTGATGCTTGCACATAAACGTCAGTCACTTCTGTCAGCTGTGCAAGATACTGTGAAGTTAGGCATCGGAATCTTACACCTAGTTGTCAATACTGTGTACCAAGTCATGTCCTTCTAACCCTGAAAACACACCGTTTGTAGTGTAGCTGACAGAAGAAGCTTCAGGTAAAAATTTCTAATTCAATTCATTACCTTCTATAAGCACTGAAGACCTCTGCTTTCATTGTCAGTGTTTGCGTAAAAAATGTACAAGCTGGGACATAGAAAAAATACAACCTGACTGCAATGAAGTAAATTCACGTTTCACTTAAAATATGAACTGTGAATATATGTAATGAAAAAGCTCTTGCTGTGAAATTTAATGCATACTAACTCTCATGAAACAGGAGAGGTGAGTCATGAAAGCAAACCACAGACAATACCACAGCAATCTCAAAGACAAATTAACTCTATGTGGGCATTATGGGCAGCCAGGAATACCCCTTCACTTCAGAATACAAATCTTCTGAATACCGGTACAACTCATTATTTGCTTAAATACTATGAACTGGAACATAAAAAACCACCAGTAATTTGCAGTTATTTGAGAAATAACTTATTTCCTGACATGAACTCATCAGAAATCATTGCTTCCACAGGAAACAGGACAAAAAACATTGAACTGCGCTGCATTGCCTGTCCAGAACAGCATCTCAGCAATTTGCTTCATTGCATTTACATTTTCAGCTAAATAGCAGATTTAAGTTAAAAATAGGATTGGACTGTTCAACCCCAGGACTGCTATGATGAAACAATATGCAAAAGATCAAGAATACAGCATTTCTTTTAAAGCTTTTTTACACCACCCAAAGCAAGATTTTAATTAAAAAAGGCACTAATAAGCAGCTCAGATACTTGCTTGCATAATTAAAGTGCCTCTGGAATTAAAACATGAGAAAAATGACAGAGATAGGGGAAATGTGGAATAGGGATAGTACAAATTTCAATTACCTTGTCTCTATTCATTATTCTTTAACAAACATTCATCAACGATTATATCAGCAATCTGGGATAGATTTAGATAATAGCTCACACACTGAACATTTATACTGGTTCTCTGATACTGACAGTTACCTGCATTTTTCCATCCAGTTAGTATAAGGAATTAAACAACTAAAGAACTAAGTACACCCCAAGCTAGGATGGGGTAAAACAAGCATTTGTTTCAATTCTCATTACTGCAAATAATTCTTTATAGTTTATTTCTTCCTTTCAAACAAGGATTTCTATGGAACAAGATCACTCTGGTAATCTAAAACATGCTAAGACATCTTGTAATTACAAACTATGTCCAGTTTGTAACTCCCAGCCAGTATCTGAATAGAAGTGAAGTTTATCAAAGAAAACAGCTCATTTCTTGATGTCTGTATTTTGAGCTTATGACTCTGCCATAATTGAAGCCCAACTGCGCTGGTACAAAGAAGTTCAGATTCATGCTGGCACAAACAGCTGCTCTCGGCCAGACAAGAAAAAAACAACCCCCAAAACCCTGAAAAATCAATTGGCTTCATTTATAACTCTAAACAAAGGTGTCTTTTGCAAGAAACACAGGTTTATTTGCATCAGTTAGGCCACAACAAAAGCAGACTTGTTAATATCTAGTGCTACTACTATCTCATCATGTCCAGAGCAGATGTCCTCTGAAGTTCCTTATGAAGGCATTTACTGTGTTTCAAGTGTTCCTAAGGGTGACATGTATCACTCAGTGTGGAGGCACACAGACATGTCTGGTCAGTTCATTACAGAATGCTTAACTCTGAAGTTCATTTTAAGATAATGCTTCACTTGTTGTAGTGCTGATGGAAGAGAGTTTAGTACTACAAGCAATGAAATAAAGACTCTAAACTATTACTAGGGTCCACTCTAACATGCCAAACAAGCGCTGCTATGATGGGCAGGCTGATTCATGTCTACATCTATAAAAATAACTTAGCTTTGTTTATAACATTCTAATGGTATGTTTTCTAAGGCTGTGGTGACAAAATCCCTCCTCTTTTACAAAGCATCAACTCAAGTTAACAAATTCAATCCAAAGCTTATTGTAAGCACCTGAACATCTCTGTAGGAGTTCACACTGATGTAATGAAGATGGCTCTTCACAACTGAGAGGAGGAAAACCGTACTATCGGTCATGGCTGCTTTAGTGATGAAGTGGTAATGATAACAGAATAAACCACCATTTACCTAAGAGCAGTGTTAGATAAAGATGTGTAGTGTAAAAATAATTGTTCCAGCAATTGAAAACAATGAACCTGAACTTAGGTGAACGAAAGTATTTAACCTGTTATTAGGAAAGGAATGGAAGTAATTTATGCAAGACAAAGTTCATTTCTAAACAGACACAGTATTGTTATCACAATTACTCATGGTGAAAACTCCAGAAGGAAGATTATGTTCCTGCTATGTAACTGGTAGTTTCTACAACCAAACAGGAATTCAGATCAAACTGAACTGAAAAAAAATGGTCCTGAGCAGAGATTGTTTCTTGATCATAATAAAATGATGTTAGGTTGAGATGACCAAAAAGGTTTTGTAAAATACAATGAATTCTGCCTCATTTTACATCTACAGCACCTATACTTTGCATACCGGTTTCTTTAAATACTAAGCCAGACCCTGCACAGGTTACAAAGTGTCATTCAAACTGGATTTGTACCCCTGTTTGCAATTAGCTGAGTGAAATTCTAGCACCATCATGTCTTAAAACATGCAATGGAAGAGGCTGTTAAGGTAAAGCCATGCAATGGTAAATAGCTATCTTGTAGTATCTGGATTCTCTCCAATACTGCATATTTTCCTCTCCAACTATCAAACCATTTAAAAACTAAAGTTAGGCTCTGAGATCATGCCGTACAAAGCAATTTATGACTGTTGCCTCAGGTACAGGACAATCCTCCACTAAATATTTACCAACAACTAATCTCTTCCCAATGCAAACAATATTTGGTTTTATGAAATTCATCGCAATTTTGATTTCATACTCCTATATAAGCAGATCTCCCAAAGAGGTCTCCTCATCCCCTATCAACTCATGCTGTTATTTTACTTCAAGGGAAAGTCAGGAAAAATACAGATGATATTATTCTTCTCAGCCAAAGTACCCTGGTATGTGCAAACTGGTATTGTTTTCAAATAGGGTGCCTGATCCCTTGCTTGAAAGTCATGCAATCTCATTTTTAATGTGTTCTACCCAACCACGAAGCAAAACAAGTTAATAACTGGTATTTGTTCTTCTGAGAAATGAAGTCACAAGGTAAAGAGATTTTGGTGCAAATCTCTTCTGCTCTTTTCTAAGCTCCTATGACTATCAGTTTGTTTGTTACTTTAATAGAAAGCTGGATTAGTTACAATAAAGGAATACACACAGAGAAAAATGCAAGGAGAGAATGCAGGGTGTTTGTATGGACAGTTAGTTACAAGTCTTCAGAATCACTCTGGTCTTCCCCTTCCCTGGAAACAGAAAATGAGCAAGAATCTGTGGGTTAACACAGAACAGTCAGAAAGCCTCACTGCCAGGAACATTATGAATTACTGCTCTGTCATGTGGAAAGCCAGTAAATCATTGCTGCACACATACATACCATTCACAACTGATGTCATCAGTAAATTCAGCAACAAAGAACCTACTCCCATTCACAGCTCATTATCCTGTGAGGGGAGATGCGGAACTCTAAATAAGAGTTTGGAAACAGAGAGTCAAACAGTCAAAAAACAGTTATGTGAATTACTGCTATTCCTGTAGTTAGTGCTATGTATTACAGGCAAATTCCTGTGAACAAAGCTGAAGCAGAATCAGAGCTCTCATTTGTTTGCAGGGAAGAAAATTCCAACTGAATATAAGGGGGGGGGGGGGGGGGGGAGTTACAATAAGGGTGTCTAAAAACTGAAATAATTTACTAAGAAAGGCTGTGGAATCTGTATCCTTTGAGATCCTCAGATCTTTGAGCTCTGCTTTGAGGAAGAGATTCAGCTTCTTTATTCTGTATGTCATAGTAGTGCACAACTAGGTTATGTACAATCTTCAGCATACAGAAAATGTGTCACCCATCTAAGTGTTTTATTTTTTATCTCAAACATTATCTCCTCCTTGCAGTATTATATAAACATCTTTGCTCTTTAAATCCAACAACTTCCCCTCCTGGCAAACTGTTTTTTGTTAACTTTGCTGTCCGAAATCATTTGGTGTAGGCTCATGTGAGCAAGAGACCTGGCACAAGGGCAAGAGAGAAAATGCAGAAGCTGAGCAACCAACTTCAAATCTTTGCAGTTGCAGCAGGGATTAGGTGCTGTGAATGCCCAGTTTGAGTGGAAGTGGAGGACAGAGCAGAAGAGAGAAGGGTGGCAGAAAAAGGGCTCTCACTTGGACTTAGTGAACAGAATTATGTAAGCTAAAAAGTACAGGCAATGTAAGTTCCCATT